AGGTACGTGCTCCCGTCCGGCCGCGGCGTAAGCGAGTACTGCCCCTCAAACTCGAGAAAGCCGTGCCCAGAGACGCGCCGCAGCGTCACGCTGCGGGCGTCGGGCGACTCGACCGCCTCGAGGGTCATCTGCGAGCGCATGTTGAGCCGCCGCGAGAGCTGCGACACCTGGTCGATCACCGCGCGCCCCGCCTCCCCCCTCCGCACATCGTGCGAAATGATTGACGGAATGAAGTCCGGAAACCGCTCGTACGACGTCACCGCACGCCACACGTCTGCGGCGGGCGCGGCGATGGCGACGCCGCCGCTGACGCGCCGCTTGGTCAGATGGACGATCTCCATCCGAAAGTCCACCTCGCAGCCGCCCTCCCGGATCCGCTCGGCGCGTGGCGCGAAGGGATTCCAATCGCCAAGGCCGCGCGCCGACGGAGCGAGGACCATGGCGGCGCCATCGGCGCGGGCGGGCCTCAGGGCGGGCGGCGGCGCGCCCCACAGCAGCGGCGCCGGCGCAGGCGCGAACGCGTGCGGCGACAAAGAGACGAGTAGGGCGGAGGCCACGGTCATTTAGATTCCAGCTCCCTTTCGAGGTCGTTGCGAGGAAATTACACCGGGCATCTAGAAATCTTTTTCCGTGGCGCTCCACCTAGCTGTGTGGTGGCGGCGTGCCGTTCTCCCATCCCTCCCTTGGGTTGTCTGTTTTCTTTCTTTCTTTTTTTTACCTAGCTGCCTGTGTAAGGCACCTTGTACCTTTTTGCAAAAGGTCAATCAAGGTCGTGGTGCGAACGAAGGCGTGTGAATTATGTCATTGTGTTCCTTGATACCCAGAGATCGCTTAGCGTTTTTAAATCTTAAGCGCCAGGTCTGACGAGCTGGGCTTGTGGCGCTCAGCTAGGTCATGCACACCCTCTGGGCGCTGAGCTGAGTGGAGCGAGTGGAGGCGAGAGTGTAGTGGAGCCGAGCGGAGCCGAGCGGAGCCGAGCGGAGCCGAGCGGAGCCGAGCGGAGCCGAGCGGAGCCGAGCGGAGCCGAGCGGAGCCGAGCGGAGCCGAGCGAGCGGACGGAGCCGAGCGGAGCGAGTGGAGCCGAACAGAGCTGCCACCGCGCCATCTGGCGCTTAAGACTTAGAAACGCTGAGCGATCTCCCGCCCGACGAGAGTCCCCCCCCCCCCCCACACACACACACGCACACACACACACACACACACTCACACACACACACACACACACACACACACACACACACACACACACACACACAGGCACACACACACACACACACAACACACACACACACTCACAGGCATGCATGCACAGTCCACAGACAAACAACCCCT